GTCAGAGCCTTGGTCTCCTTCACTTGAGAATTTCCTTCATGAGTCATTTTAAGTGACTCAAACATTCCATGAGCTGTTTCTCTGTTAGTAATCTTTTCATACTCAGTATGAGAGATTGCATTAAGCAATATTGTCCTAGCCTTATGGTGATTTTTGAAATCATTCTTCTGGGCTTCTGTCATTGATTTTCTATCAATTTTCTTGCCATCCTCATTTGTAGGATGTTCATAACCATCAATGATCAAGTCCCACAAATCAGCATCATACCCAAGGAAGAAACTTTCTATCCTGTCCTTCCAGTAGTCAAATTTATCTCCATCAAACATGGGAGGCTTTGTGCTGATTCTATCCCCTTCATATTTGTTACAATTGGCTGTATTGGATGTAGAAACATCACCCATAATGACAAACAAATATATATCAAAGTAACTTTTTTCACTGGATCTTTACTGACACGGTTAAGTGGTAGCACACGCAGAACCGGAGCTCTGATGCCAACTGAAGGTGAGACAATACTTAAAAAGGGGGGGGGGGGGTTGAATAAGTATGACAAATAATCAGAGATTCAAACACAGTTATTTTTATCCTGGTTCGTTGAACTCAACTACTCCAGTCCACCCTCTCAAGAGTGATTTGCCTTTCTCAGTCAAGGACTTAATCCACTATTTAATCAAACAGATTACAATAGTAACACCTAAGAACAACTGTTCTTAGTCTTCTCAAGAGCTACTGATCCCAACTGGATCCTCTTAAGGAAACCTTTTACAATCAATGTAAAACTATTACAAGAGTAAGAATGCTTCTAAAAAGCTATTATCACAACTGTGATATTTCTCTTAAGTTTAAGAACAATGTTACAGCAAATAGAATATAAGAGCTTTTGAGAGATTTGCTTTGAGTGATTTTTGCAAGTAGTTCATTCCTGAAGAAGATGGAGTGGACTTCTTTATATAGGCACTAAGATCTATGAAGTCTTCTCAACGTTGGAGGTTGTGCTGAAAAAGCCTGGAGCCTTTTGTCTTTACATTGGAGGCTGTGCTGAAAAAGCCTGATGCCTTTTGTCTTTTACTTTGCAGAAACTTTCCTTAGAATGGAATGCACAGATAAAACCTTTTTGTCTGTGTTCTTGTGTCTAACACAAAAGAGGAAAGAGCTGTTGAGATATGCCAACGGACATATTCAAATCTTCTTCACTAAGTAAGTTCAGCTATCAACATCAGAGTCTGGATCTTCAGAATCTCCAGAGTAGAGATCTTCTGGATCTTCAGAGTCTTGGGATGTTCTTCAGATTATGCTGAATCAGAGTATATGCAGCTTGTGTGCTTGAGCGTGTAGTTCTGTCAGAGCAGAGTCTTCTATATCAGATTCTCAATACTTATGCAGCGCAGTATCTTCAGAGTCTTCTGATGACTAAGCTTCTGAACTCTCAGAGTCTTCTATTCTTTAGAGGCTTCTGCTTCAGAATCTTCAGTAGACAGCACTCAGATTCTTCTGGAGGCAGCATTCAGATCTTCATATAAGATGCTCTTGAACCTTTGAAGCCTTTCATAATATCATTGTTCAGATCTAAATTTGCTCTTTAAGAGTATTTTCTTTAGTACCTGTAGCAAACAGTCTAGAACAAATTTAGAGTATATAATTCTTGAATACAAAATTTATAAGTCTTACCATCAAAACATAGAGATATTACTGAGAAACAATCTGTGTTCTTACACATTGACCAATGGTCATAGAAATTGATATAATGAACAAAGAATATTAACTCCAAAAGATATAAAAGTTCAACAAGGATAAAGAGTTTATAAATAAACCTTCTGAATTTTTGTGTGTACGATAATCTACTCAACAAATATAACTATTTATATTTCTTCTATCCCAAAATAAATATTACATTTGTAAAAATCATTTGTCATAAAATTAGTATCACTTTTAGTTTTGAATTCATTTTTAATTTTGATTTTTCAATTATATCCTGAATTAATACTTCTAATTTATTATTTTTCTCATTCTGCATTAATAATAATTTGATAAAATTTATATTCTTTCCATTAATAATAATAAATAAGAATAATTTTATAAAATCTCTATATTTTACGACGTAGATAGTAGTTTGATCGATATTTAACAAATAAGAAGAAAACATTCAAATATGATGATTCTGGATTTCTAAACTTTCCAAATACTCTCTAAAATTAGAAAATTTTATCCCATACCCCTACAATTATACTTATACTCCTACCTAAATTTTTTTGGACTAAAATATCCTCGTATAAAAATTTATAATTTTTTTTCATTTGTTCACCGGAAGACTTTTTGCAAGTCTTCCGGTTCATATTTTCTCTTTTGTTCACCGAAATACTTTTTGGAAGTCTTCCGGTTCACATTTTTGTTCGTTTGTTCACCAGAAGACTTTTTGCAAGTCTTTCGGTTCATATTTTTTTCATTTGTTTACTGGAAGATTTTTTGAAAGTCTTCGGGTTCATTTTTTTTTTAATTTTTAAATTTTAAAATAAATTATTGACATTATGTGTCATTTTTCTCTCTCCCATTCATCTTTTATTTTATATTAAAAATTCATTATTGAACATCAATTCATTTTTTCCTTGCTCAATAAATTCAGATTTTTGCCTTAAATATATAATTTTCATATACTGATAATTTAAATTAGAATAAAAGTTTTATTAATAAAATAGTTGAGACAAGTGAGTAAAAAACAAATAGATCATAACCTTTTTCATTATTTGCTTGTTGGAACTATATTATTATTATTATCAATATTATTAAGTTTTTTATTATTGTAATTATTATTATAATATATATATATATATATATATATATATATATATATATATATATATATATATATATATATATATATATATATATATATATATATATATATATATATATATATATATATATATATATATATATATATATATATATATATATATATATATATATATATATATATATATAGTTATTTTTATGTAATAAAATAAGAATGAATCTGAACTATTAAATTTTAAAATAAATTATTGATATTATGTGTTTGTTTTTTCCTCCATCATTTATTTTATATTAAAAATTTTATTATTGGACATCAATTCATTTTTTGCTTGTTCAATGAATTTAGATTTTTTTCCTTAAATATATAGTTTTCAAATATTGATAATTTAAAGAATGATTAATATATATTTCGGTCAATGTTTGAATTCAGAAACTTAAAATATTTTTTTGATATTGGATTAAATAAAATTAAATGACTAAGAACTATAATTGTATATTATATATTATACTTTTAATTTGAATTCATGAATAGAATTAAAAAAACCAACGTTAAGATGATTAAAAATATTATAATATTTGACAATATTATATAAATGTTAATTTTAATTTTTAATAAATTATATGATAGGATAGTAAATAAAAAAAACTATAATTGAAAATATTAAAATTTTTTAAAAAAAAGCATGAACCGGAAGACTTCCAAAAAGTCTTCCGATGAACAAAAAAAAATATAAACCGGAAGACTTGCAAAAAGTCTTCCGATAAACAAAAAAAAAACTGTGAACCGGAAGACTTTTAAAAAGTCTTCCGGTGAACAAAAGAAAAAATATAAACCGGAAGACTTGTTGCAAGTCTTCCGTGAACAAATGAAAAAAATTATAAATTTTTATACGAGGGTATTTTAGGCCAAAAAATATTAATGTAGGGGTATGGGTATAATTGTAGGAGTATGGGGTAAAATTTCCCTAAAATTACAACCTCCAAAATAAGGTTTAAGCACTTGCAAAAAATTTAGTTTTCCAATTAGTATCTACCACTCATTAGGGGTGAAAATATGTCAGATCGATAATAGGGGCCTACGACCTAGCTTATATAAGTTCAAGTCAGGCTAATTTTTTTGTTAAATAAAAAATGTCTAGACTTTTTTATAAACCTATTTAATTAAAAAGACTAAGTCTAAGGTCATGAAAAAAAAAGTTTTTTAAGCCTAATAGACTGGTCTATTTAAATAAATATGAATAATTTATTATTATTATTATTATTATTATTATTATTATTATTATTATGTTATATTTTATACTTTGAATTAAAATATATAAATAAAAATTGGTTATATAATATAAGATGAAAACACCTTATGAACAATATTATAAGTTGTTTTCATAAGTTATTTTAAACAAATAGTCTCACAAAACTTATGATAATAGGTAAGTTAAAATAAGTTAATACCAACAAACTTTTAGTCACATTGGTTTATTAGTTTGTTAGTCTATTTAAACATTATTTTAATTGATTATTTATATATGTCTAAAATAATAGGCTTTTATGTAGGCTAACAGACTAACTAGGTCTTAGAAAATGTCAGTCTCAGGGTTAAAAATAAGTCTATGACAAGCTACAGACTAGGCTTAGACTTCAATTTTTTTAGTAGGTCAGACTTAGACTTGACAAAGTTTAGTTCGACACAACCTATTTTCACCCTTACCCATCATACATGCGAGAGAACCCCCTTCGCACTTGCAAATTTATTAAGATTCTCCTTCAGCCTATGATTGTGTACACGATGAAACTTATTTTAAATATTTCAAACTCGATTACACTAACGTAAGAAATGAAATTGAATTGTCAAAGAAATGCATAAAATTTATAACACAATAAAATAATACGATAAAACTCACACACCAACATTAAAAATTGAAAAATCACAGTTTCGAACCCGCTACATAAAATTGAAATGGCAAAGAAAGAAAAATTCCCAAAATGTATAACACAACAAGATAACAAAAGATAAATTACTAGATTTTCATTGCAATATAATGACAATTACATTCAAAATAAACAAGACAAAAATAAAAACACAAGAAAGATAAAAAGGAATGACATGGTAAAGAAACAACCTATTCATTTTCTATAAACATATATATGTCAAAAAAGTAGAGTCAACTATAGGAATCCCCCCAAAAAGAAAGTCCAAATAGCATGTGCCAAAATTATTTGCCATAAGCTATTTCAAAAGGCCCAAGTCTATAATCAGCCAGCCTTGAATTATACATAGCTTTCTTGTACTCACACCACGTGAACTCTTTGTACAAACTTTCTTCTTTCTTTAACAATAGTGATGCTATAGGCACTATCTTTTCAATTAAGGCTGGTCCTCCAAAGTATATCATCGACAACCTTGACTTTGTTGTGTCAGATAAAACCCTATGTTTTACACTTTTGAACCTACCATTAGTCAATACCTGCATCCATTTCAACACACGCATATTATTCAACTATGTTGGATTTTTTTATGTAAAATATTCAAGACATGTGATAGATGGATGTTTGGTTCTTTTGTACTAAAAAGGTTGTGTGAGACTTGTGTCAACACGACACTTAGAAAGAGTATAATAATTGAAGACCTCTTATGGCATGCAACTTGATCATCAAGTTTCATGTCGCTTTCATGTTTTATATTAATATTCTTTTGCTTTAAAGTTTATTTCTATTCAACCTAATATCAAGATTCTAAGACAAAAGTTCTTTTTGATTAATCAAATGCTCTCTATGGTTTGAATAATTCAACTATTGACATTTGTAAAGAATTTAGTTATGGAGTGAATATGCATTTCATTTTGGATATCCTGTTTTTGTTTTCAATAAATTTTTTCTACTTAAAATAATTATTGTTGAGGTTTGTCAAACATTTAGATATGTATTGGGGTGGCACACCAACTTATCACTCCATTGTGATATGTAAAAACGGGACGGAACGGATCAAACAGTGGGATGAATCATAAATTTTAATCTAATCCGAAAAAGTGGTGGAATTGACAAAATATTAAAAGAAAATTGACATCTTAACTCATCACGAAAAAATCATGATGTAGCGAACAAAGTAGAGAAAGGAATAAAAAATCTAAGCACTCAACTCAAAAAATCAGGGTGAAGGAATCAAACAGCTTAGCTTAACCCAAAAAAAATATGGTGTAGACTACATTAGAGTGTCCGCATGGTTCGCTAACATAAAAAAAAATGACCAAAAAAATAGAAGAAATTTCGGCTAAACCTATCTAAAATGACGGGCTATTGGACTTATCTAAAATGACGGGCTATTGGACTTATCTGATTGTTCCGACCCATTTTTTCACAGGAGGAAATTGATACCTTAACACAACATGAAAAAATTAGGATGTAGCAGACAAAGTAGAGGGAGGAATGAGAAACCTAAGCTCAACCTAAAAAATGGGGGAGGAGCACTCAGAAACCTAAGATATAAGTCAAAATGCGAGAAAAAAAATGATGTTTTGAAATGAAAGATAGAAATGGAGAGAATCCATTGTGAATAAAAGAAAGTGTTTGAACCTGAAGAGTGTCACCAACATTGATGTAAAAGGAAGTATGATCAGGTGGAACAGAAACCCATGTTCCATCATTAAGACAGATTTGCAGACCAGAAATGCTATTAGATCTCAAGACAGAAATCACTTGTGGGTCTGTATGCTCCCCAAACCCTATTAAATTCTTTCCATTTAATGCTCCTTGTTGCACTTCAGGGCACGGTGGATAATGGTTTATTCTGAAACAAGAATCACTTTTCTCATTTCTCAATAATCTGCTTATCACATTCCTCGGCTCAATCTCCAATCCATCCGCCATTAGTTCCAATACTAGATAACACATTTTCTTCATTGCTTCTATATAATCTTCCACAACCGTCCTGCAACGTATAATACATCAGTCATTCAATGAATCTGAAAACAGAATGATCAGGACTAAATAACAGCAGAATCAATACATCAGTTATTCAATGAATCTTCGAGAGTCTGAGAGTCTGAAAAGAAAATATTTGTTTATAATATTTTAAAAGCTAAAAAGAAAAAACAGGGGACTCTGTTTACAAAACATTACCTTAAATTCGGTCGATTTTCGCGAAAAATGGTGAGTGATTTGTTGGAGATAACATCAGGGTTGGTATTGAGAAGAATATATTCAACCCAACCAACATCACCGTTTGATCCAATCTTTTTACTTCCATAACCAAAAGGGTCAGGAGGACCAGCTCTGTCTTTCTCCGACTGCGATTTTCGGAAGAATTTAACAGCTTCGGTTTCCAAATTTGATATAAGTTCCATTGGAACTCCATGGTTGACAACTTTGAAGAATCCAACTTCCTTACAAGCATTGACAATTTGTGTCTTTGCTTCCGGGTGTGTAAGGTCGACGAGAGGTATTCCGTTGAACATAGTAGTTGTTGTTGGTTTGCATGGTGATTTAGGAAGTAGGAAATTGTTTAAGGATGGTTTAGACAAAACAACCATTGTTGTTGTTTGGGTTTTTGGTGTTAACAAGGAGAGGAAAAAGGAAGAGAAAGATAGAAGAAATTGGAATTGTAATGCATGAAAGGTTGGGGAGAAGCGTTATGATATATATAGACCCATATGGCTTTCCGTGACAGCTTGGCATTCACATTTATACTATCGAGAGAAAGAGGATCATAGGTTATGGGTAATGGGTATGTGAAAACGTAGTCATTTTCATCATTATTTTTTCCTTACATTCACATTGGTTTTGAAGAAGAAAAAAAAAAAAATATATATATATATATATATATATATATATATATATATATATATATATATATATATATATATATATATATATATATATATATATATATATATATATATATATATATATATAGTATGGTTTGATATGAAATTTCCTAAACATTACCACGTAAGTTTATTCACGCGGAATCAATTAAAAGTTGGTAAAAGATGATTCATCTATCAGTAAAAAATATTAAAGATAGTATGAATCATCTATCAGTAGTAAGGAATACTGATTTTATGATCAATAGTTTAGGTAATACATTGAATGAAATGAAATTAATATTTTTTAAAAATAAATGTAAATGGTGAATGGTGTAGTATAAAGAAAGTATATTTCAAAATTAAGTGAATAGATTATTTGGGATGAAAAGTATTAAATTTATTAAAATTCTCAAATGATAAAATCAATATTTGTATTTTTAAAGTTCAAACTATTAGAAGTAATTTATATTTAGTTGTACTATTACTTAACTCCTAAGTTTGTTAGAAGGTATTTTAGAATTTTATCTTATTCTAGTAACCCTAGTTTTAGCTTATAAATAGGGTTGCAATCATTGTAATATTAAGTGAATTGTGTAGCCGTCATTCTCTTAATAGAATATTTCCTCTGTTCATCATTTATTCACCTTTGCACCAACAATTGGTATCTAGAGTTCCGGTTCGGATTCATTGGGAAACACGGGAAACATGAGTGAGCGTGAGGCCTTGTGTGTTTGATTTTGTTTCTTAGATTCGTGTTGAATTTTGAACAAATCTGATCAGAATTTTTAATTCTGTGGGTTGGGAGACACTGTGAGAGAAATCTGAGTGTACTGTGCAAGGTAGAAGATGAACGAAAACAGCAACATGAACACCAAACTTCCAGTATTTGACGGTAAAAACTGGAATCGTTGGATGATCCAAATGCGTGTACTGTTTAGTGCTCAAGATGTTCTAGATCTTGTCACTGATGGTTATGTTCTGGTAGCAGCAGTTGCAACGGATGAACAAAAAAACGCGCAGAAGGAAGGAAGAAGGATCAGAAAGCATTGTTCTTCATTCATCAATGTGTGGATGTAAATGTGTTTGAGAAGATTGCAGATTCAACGACAACAAAGGCTGCGTGGGACACACTGGTGAGATGTTATGGTGGTGACGCATCGGTGAAGAAGGTGAAGCTTCAGTCCTTGAAAAAGCAATATAAGAATCTCAACATGAAGAATAATGAGAAAGTCTCTGAATACATCTCTAGAATAATTCTGATCACTAATGAGATGAAGGCGTGTGGAGAAACTCTTTCTGAAGAAGCAATCATGGAGAAAGTATTAAGATCCCTTACCTCTCAATTTGATTACATTGTGGTAGCAATAGAACATTCCAAAGATCTTAGCACCATGAGAATTGAAGATCTGCAGAGCAGTCTAGAAGCGCAAGAGTTGCGTTTGACTGAGAGAACTTCTGAAAAGGAAGTAGAGCAGCAGGCTCTGAAAGTAACTTCTGATAGGAGGTATCAAAAGCAGTTAGAAGCCAGGAGAAGATCTGATGGTGGTCAGAAGTCAGAAAGCTCAACCTCTGATAGACAAAAGAATGCTCAGAAGGGAAAAGAGAAGTATGACAAGAAGAAAATCCAATGTTACTGTTGTAAGAAGTTTGGTCACTTTGCTAGAGATTGTTGGTCAAACAAGGAGAGAAAATCAGAAGAAGCAAATATAGCCAGAAGTTCTGATGACGAATCTATGCTATTGATGGCCTCTGAATCTGATGGTATGGATCTGATAGACTGGTGGTATATGGACACTGGTTGTTCAAATCATCTTACTGGAAACAAGAAATGGCTGGTTGACTTTGACTCTGAAAAGAGAATAAAGATCAAATGTGCTGATGACAAATATCTTAATGCAGAAGGTATGGGAAATGTCAGAGTGATTCTGAACAATGGGAAAACAGCATTGATTCAGAACGTGTGGTATGTACCTGGCATCAGAAGCAATTTGATGAGTGTGGGACAAGTAATTAAGAAAGGTTTTTCAGTTACCATGAAAGACAATCTTCTGAAGCTGTATGACTGCAATCAGAAGCTGATTATGGAGTTAGAACAGGGAAGGAATAGGACATTCAAGGTGAATGTCAGAACTGCAGACTCAGAATGTCTTAGTGCAACAAGTGCTGAGAAGGAGAGTGAGCTGTGGCACAGAAGATTCGGTCATTTGAATTTCAGAAGCTTAAAACATCTGAATTCAAAGAAGTTGGTACATGGAATTTCTGCAATTAAGAAGCCTGAAAAGTCATGCAAAGTTTGCATGGAAGGAAAACAAGCATGATTGTCATTTGCGTCAGAAGCTACTCCAAGAGCAAAACATGCCTTGGGAGTTGTACATTCTGATGTGTGTGGTCCATTTCCAGTAGCATCGATTGGAGGGAATAAATACTTTGTGTTGTTTGTTGATGAATTCACAAGAATGACATGGGTATCCCTTATTAAGTTTAAACACGAGGTGTTTGATGAATTCAAGAAGTTTAGAATTAAGGCTGAGAATCAAAGTGGTCAGAAGTTGAAGATTCTTAGAACTGACGGTGGAGGTGAGTATAACTCCAAAGAGTTCTAGAAGTTCTGTGAGGAGAATGGAATTGAGCATGAGGTTAGTGCTCCTTATACTCCTCAACACAATGGTCTTGCTGAAATAAGAAACCGCATTTTGCTTGATATGGTGAGAAGCATGCTAAAGGAGAAGAAGCTTCCTCAGAAGCTCTGGGGAGAAGTTGTTGCCACTGCAACGTATGTACTCAATCGATGTCCTACGAAAAAGTTGAAGGAAATAGTTCCAATATAGAAGTGGACTGGAGATAAGCAAAGTGTTAGTCATCTGAAGGTGTTTGGTTCTGTTTGCTATAAACATGTTCCAAAAGCCAGAAGACAGAAGTTGGATGATAGAAGCAAAGTGATGATTCTGATAGGGTACCATAGTACAGGTGCATACAAGCTCTATTGTCCAGAAACCAATAAAATTGAATTCAGCAGAGATGTGATTGTGAAGGAATCAGAAGTTTGGAATTGGGATAAGTCTCAATCTGATTCTAATGTTAGAATTTCTGAAGAAAGGTCAGAGTTAAGAATTTCTGAAGTTGGAGTAAACTCTGACGTTGACTCTTACTCTGATAGTGATTCAGACTCTGGAGAAGACTCAGAAGATGAAGGTGACTCTGATGATCCAGACTCTGATGGCAATCCAGATTCTGGTGGCAATTCAGACTCTGGAAATATGCCAGACTCTGAAGATGGTCAAAGCTCTGGAGGAAGTCAATCATCTGAAGCTAGAAACTCTGAAGCTCAAGACTCTGAACAAGTTCAGAGACCACAAAGAATAAGAAACGTCCCCAGAAGATATGCTGAATTTGACATGCTGCAAGACACTGAAGTAGACTCTGAAGGAGAAGTTATTCAGTGTGCCATGATAGTAGACTCTGAACCCATAAGTACAGAAGAGGCTCTTAAGCAGAAGCTCTGGCTGAAGGCCATGAAAGAAGAACTTGATGCTATAGAGAGAAACAAGACTTAGAAGCTGACAGAACTTCCAAAAGACAAGAAAGCCATCATTGTCAGATGGGTTTTCAAGCAGAAGTTAAAGCCAGATAGTTCAATTGGCAAACATAAAGCAAGGTTGGTAGCCAAAGGATTTATACAGAAACCTGGGCTGGATTATTCTGAAGTGTTTGCACCTGTAGCAAGACATGAAACAATCAGATGGTGATTGCAATAGCTGCTAACAGGAATTGGCCTCTGGTGCATTTAGATGTAAAATCTGCATTTCTGAACGGTCCATTAGAATAAGAAGTTTACGTGTCACAACCTCCTGGATTTGTGAAAAAGAATCAGGAAGGGATGGTGTAAAGATTATACAAAGCTCTATATGGATTGAAACAAGCGCCCAGAGCTTGGAATCAGAAGATTGATTCATTTTTCAAGAAGCAAGGCTTTCAGAAATGTGAGATGAAGTACAGTGTTTATGTTCAACATACTTCTGAAGGCAATATGACTCTGGTGTGTTTATATGTTGATGACATACTGCTGACTGGAAGTTCTGAATAGGAGATAGCCAAGTTCAAGAAAGTTCTGATGAATGAATTCGAAATGACTGATCTAGGCAAAATGACATACTTTCTAGGGATGGAGTTCAGATATTCTGAGAAAGGTATCATTTTGTATCAGCTCAAGTATGAATTAGAACTTCTGAAGAGATTTGAACTGAAGAATCATAAGATTGCTGTCACACCTTCTGATACAAATCAGAAACTGGATTCTGACTCTGATGGAAAGGATGTGGACGCTACAACCTTTAAACAGTTGGTTAGTTCTTTGAGGTATCTGTGCAATACCAGACCTGATATTTGCTATTATGTTGGGATGGTTAGTAGGTTCATGAGTAAACATAAGTGGTCCCATTACCAAGCTGCTGTCAGGATTCTGAGGTATATCAAGGGAACTCTGAAGTATGGAGTATTATTTCCTTCTGGAAGAAAGAATGAGTCAGAACTTCTGAGTTATTCAGATTCTGATTGGTGTGGAGACAGAGTTGACAGAAGAAGTACCTCCGGATACTTGTTCAAATTTCTGGGAGGTCCCATTTCTTGGTGTTCCAAGAACCAACCTGTTGTGGCGTTATCAACCTGTGAAGCTGAATACATTGTAGGTGCTGTTACTGCATGTCAAGCAGTGTAGATTCTGAATC